ATTCCTTCCTTAGTCCACTCTACCATACAATAAAGGACCATCTCTTCTTTGCTTTGTCCCTTCCTAGAGGGCATTGCATCCCAATGTGCAGTTGTTAACCCCAGGGGCTGTTCTGGGGCTATCTCTGGTTATTCACTCCCTTTCTCGTTTTTAGAGCCTCTCTGGGGGCCCCATAACCTTGAGCCTCTCTTGGGACCCTTTGAGCCTCTCTGGGGGCTCGTTGAGCCTCTCTGGGGGCTCCTTGAGCCAGAGGTCTTCCTCTTCCCCTGACCCACGGTGACCAGTGTCTCACAGCACTCGCTTTGTCCCTTCACTGGCCGAGCCCCTCGCGGGGCGGTGGGAGCGCAGACAGAAGGACTCCTCGATGGCTCCATGATAATATTGCGTCTCTCTCACTCGCTTTCACTCAGACACTGTCGTGTCCACCCAGCCGAACGATACTCACAGCCCGCTGCTCTTGTCTGGATCTTCGTGCCCTGGAATTGCAGGTGATTTAAAGTGCAGTTCTCAGGGAGCTCAATCCCTTGCTTGCTTTCTTTACCAGGTTTGTGGTGCCGTTAGCTCCTGGGCTATTGGCTTCTACGGGCCACAAAAGTGGGGTGCCCCCTGCAGTAGCCTCAGTCCGAGAGATCCCAGGGCATCAGGTCGGCGTCACCTAATTGATATAAAATTTCAATAGTCAATCTGGATTTTATTTCTATTTCTTTTATTTTAACGAAAGTAAGCCAGCAGCGCTGGGTGGCCGGGGAGTCACTGCTCTACTCACGGCACACACCACTTACAAGTTCACTAAAGTATATATACTGCTTTTAAGCCTACAAAGTATTTTCCAATGTGCTCAGTTAGTCCAAATCAGCAAATATCAATAAGCTGGGATCCACAGTTTCATAATCTTTCCAGGTGGTCGTTGATTCCTGTCCTTCTTGTGGTCATCTGGAGGGAGGCCTTTCACTAGTGTCTGCTACATGATTTTGTCAAGTGCATCAAGCTTTTTTTATACATAAGCATTTAGTTGCTTTGTTGCAATATCTCTTAGCTTTACGACAACTACCTACATTTTATTCCAAGCATCAGTCATCTTGGTACCTCATTTCTTTTACTCTACTATACTTCTTTGATTTCAATGCTTTATTTGGCTATTTGGTCAGAAAGTTCCAAAATCTTTCTTAGTGTCTATTTTCAACACAGCAGATAGAAACATTTGCTGATTCCATTGACAATTGACATGAATCACAAAAACATTTGTCACAGAATCAGGGCAGGATGAGCCCTGGGAGCCCCAAAAGCCCCTCAGCATGCCTGAGCAGGAACCCGGGAGCGGGGAATGCCCAGGACCCACAGGTCCCCCAGCAGCTCTGAGAAGAGGGACCCCCATAACCCCAAAGTAAGGACATTGGAAACAGGGAACTGCTAGGAGAGTGTTTTTGGACTGAATGAATTTTTGGAGGTATTTCTGGCCATCAGATACCCAGTGACTTCTAGAGATGGACTTGGCCAGTGGACCATCAAAGCCAATGCACTCACATCTTGTTTTTCCCCAAATCAGGATTTCCCATTCCCAAACCTTTTCTGGATGGAGGAGAAGGCTGTGAGGAAGCGGAAGGTGCTCCAGGACACTGAGGCAGGTGCGGCAGGTGAGGAAGAAGTCACTGCCCCTTTCTCCCTCTCTCCTGCTCCATCTCCCAGCACAGCCCCCGGCTGCAGGACAACCCTGCTGCCAACGCTGTCCTGCTGGGGATGGATTGGGGGGATCTCCTTCTCCTTCCCTCTGGCATGGAAGCAAATCCCATCCTCTCCTTGTCCTTCCTCCCGCAGACAAGGAGCTGAGGATGGAGAGCAGGGAGGACAAATCCCCAAAGCAGAACCTCGTGGAAGAGGCCGTTTTGAGCGGCTGCACAGCACAGGAATCCAATGGGGAGGAAAAGCCCCGGAGATCCCGCAGGAGGAGGGGCTCCAAAGCCAGCCCAGGGTGCTCTGAGGGGGAAAGACCCACCCTGTGCCAGGAAGGCAGCCAGAGATCTGACCAGAGCTCTGAGGTGGTGGTCCATGAGCAGCGTGATGATGGCAAGAAGCCCCACCAGTGCTTGGAATGTGGGAAGAGTTTCCTCAGGAGGTACCTTCTGGTCTGCCACCAGAGGATTCACACTGGGGAACGGCCCTATGAGTGTGGGGAATGTGGGAAGAGCTTCAGGATCAGCACCCACCTGATGAACCACCAGAGGATCCACACTGGGGAACAGCCCCACGAGTGTGGGGAATGTGGACAGAGGTTCAAGATCAGCTCCCACCTGATCGTCCACCGAAGGATCCACACCGGGGAACGGCCCTATGAGTGTGGGGAATGTGGGATGAGCTTCAGGATCAGCTCCCACCTGATCAACCACCAGAGTACCCACACAGGGGAACGGCCCCATGAGTGTGGGGAATGTGGGAAGAGCTTCAAGATGAGCTCCCACCTGATCTGCCACCAGAGGATCCACACCAATGAACGGCCCTATAAATGTGGAGAATGTGGGAAAGGCTTCAGGAGGAACTCCAGCCTGAAACTCCACCAGATGACCCACACTGGGATACGACCCTACGTGTGTGGGGAATGTGGGAAGAGCTTCCGTGACAGCTCTCGCCTGATCATCCACCAGACAATGCACACTGGGGAAGGCCCCTACACGTGCTCAGAATGTGGGAAGAGCTTCATGGAGAACTCCAGCCTGATTATGCACCAGAGGATCCACACCAGGGAGAGGCCCTACGAGTGTGGGGAATGTGGGAAAAGCTTCATCCAGAGATGTCATCTGGTTTTCCACCAGAGGATCCACACTGGGGAGAGGCCCTGTAAGTGCAGGGAATGTGGGAAAAGCTTCAGTGCGCCCTCCACCCTGATTGCCCACCAGAGGATCCACACTGGGGAGAGGCCCTACAAGTGTGAGGAATGTGGGAAAAGCTTCAGCCAGAGGTCCGGCCTGATTGCCCACCACAGGATCCACACTGGGGAGAAGCACTATGAGTGTCCTGAGTGTGGGGAGAGGTTTCAGAGCAGATACCGTCTCCTCAAGCATCAGCAGATTCACACAGAATAGAGGCCCTTCCCCTGCCCCGACTGCGGGAAGGGCTTTAAGAAGAACTCCACCCTCGTCACCCACCAGCGGATCCACACTGGGGAGAGGCCCTAACAGAGTCCCAGGTGTGGGAAGAGCTTCTCCCAGAACGCTGCCATGACCCAGCACCAAGAGAGGCAGCAGTAAGGGAAGCCCTACAAGTGCCCCGTGTGTGGGAAGAGCTTTGAGCGCTGCTCCAACTCCATCCCCCAGTGGAGGACCCCCACTGAATGGTCCACAGTGACCCTCGTTGGACAGAGACTTGGTGATCCATGGTCCTGGTGATCCATGTTAGAACGACACCTGGCTAGTGATCTCCACATCTTCCTGGCTCCCCTTGGACACTTGGACACAGCCAGAGAAAGTTGCATTGGCATGCAAACCGACATCAGAATTTCATAGGGGACAGCACATTTTTTTACTTTCGACCCCAAAAATATCTCACCTTTTGCATCCAGTTGTTTCTTCGGGTGGCATCAAGGAATACTGGATGGTGTTGGAGGTCTTTTCCAACCTAAATCATTCCATGATTCTAATTCTCTCTGGCCCATAGGCATCTTTCACAGCCAAATGGTGATGGACTAGAGCAAAAACCCAAGATTTTGGAGACAATGGAGTGGAAATTCCTCTAGAAAAGGTTCTTTCTACCCACCCAGGCACATGGATACTCAGCCAGCATGGGCACGTAAATCCTTTTATTTTGGCCTTGATTTTCCTTCATTTTTCTTCATTCCTTCACCCAACACTGGGGTAAAAATAAAGACATTCAACTAAAACTCAGATGGTGACACTGGGGGACATGGGTGGGGATGGGGATGGGGACATGGACAAGGACATGGGTGCAGTCATGGCAGTAGGTGGCAATATTGGGCATGGAGGGGGTGTCACAGGTATAGATGGTGACATGGGGCTGTATGGCCATGGATGAGGACATGGGGACAAATCCCTGGGTTGACATGTCCATACCATGAGGTGTCCCATGACCAAGGAAAACACATCCCCACCACCACCACAATACTGTCCCGTTCATGCTCCCGTTTATTCCCTGCTCCTCCCCTGGCTGTGACACCTCCCTTGGGGGATGTCCCCATGTCCTGGTGACCCGTGTCCCTCAGGCCACTCCCAGCAGTGGCTCCGGCAGCAGCCAGAGCCCGTCCTCGGCACGCAGGATCAGCTCGGGCTTGTGGCACGGGGGTGGCCTCGCCGTGTCCCTCTGCAGCACGAAGCGGGACAGTGTCAGTGCCACTACCACCTTCATCTCAGCCATGGCAAAGCTCTGCCCGATGCAGTTCCTGCCACCACATCCCCACTGTGAGTGTCACCCCACTGTGAACCCAGCCAGGGATGGGGGTGGCACTTGGGGACACTCCTGTTCCCCCTCCACCACATACCTGGGGCCAGCAGAGAAGGGGATATAGGACACTGGGAACCATCCCTTGCTGTTCTCTGGGCTGAACCTCAGAGGATTGAACACCTGGGGTGACACCGGCACAGTCACACTGAGGGGACACAGCTGTCACCACCATGGTGACAAGGACGCCTCATAGGGTGGCCCTACCTCAGGCTCAGGCCAGAGGTCTGGGTTGTGGTAGGTCCCGTAGATGCTCATCGGGCAGATGACCCTGGGTGGGATGGGAATGGCCACTTTAGGGACAGCAGATGAGGGTGGCTGGTGACACTGGGGACACCCTGGCCATGCCATACCCTTGGGGATGACACGGCCATCACGCAGGGGGATGTCCTCGGTGCAGCGCCGGGACACAGCAGTGACAGGAGGGTGCAGCCGCAGGCTCTCCTTGATGCACATGGTGGTGAAGGGCAGCTGGGATAGGTCCTCCCTGGGGACAAGCGAGGGTGGCACCGTGTCCCCGAGCCACATAACCAGGGGTGGCCCTGGGGACATCTCACCATTCAATGTCCGTAGTGTCCCAGCCAGCCAGGAGCTCCTGGACCTCCTGGCGGCATCGCTCCTGGTGCTCAGGGTGGCTGGCCAGGTTGCAGAAGAGCCATGTCAGGCCACTGGCTATGATGTCATGACCTGTGGGGACATTGGGTGAGTGAGGGGACACTGGAGTGGCTCCTCCCCAGTGGCCCCTGGGAGCTCGTGCTCACCCTCAAACATGAAGGTGTCAGCCTCAGCCATGATGTCCTCGTCCGACAGGGTGTGGCCGTTCTCATCCTGCCGGGGCGAGATGAGCCATGGGCCACCTGGGGCCACCAGTCTACGGCCAAATCCATCCATGGCCACCACTCTTCCCCCATAGCCACCACCCTATGGGCACCACCATCCCACTGGCCACCAGCTCTATGGTCAATGCTGGCCATGGCCACCACTGTTCCCCTGTGGCCACCAGTCTATGCCCAAGTCCCTCATGGCCACCAGCATCCTCCTGGCCTCTATGGCCAACCCTTTCATGGCCACCACCATCCCCTTGACCACTGTCCCCCCATGGCCACCACCCTATGGTCATCATCATCTCCCCATGGCCACAGCCACCCTCTTGACCACTTCCATGTCCCCATGGCCACCAGTCAGCCCCACCTTGGTGAGCAGCAGGAGGTCGATGAAGTCCATGCTGCGTCCCCGGTGGCTGTCCAGCCAGGCCTGGTGGCCCAGGCAGGGGAGTGCCTGGCGCCGGCGCTGCACCACATCAGCAGTGAAGGCCTGGACAGTGGCACAGGCTCAGGCAAAGCGCCGGCCATCAGAGGAGAGGCTGTAGAGCCACCACGGGTGGAGAAGTGGCTGGAGCTGGCGCCAGGCCACCAATGAGCTCAGCTCCAGGATGGCCTGGATGTACTCGCTGGGCCATGGGTCCTCATGGAACCAAGAGGAGACTGCCAACCTGTGGGGTTTCATAGAACCATCCACTGTGATCCCTCAGGGCCTCATGGTTCCCAGGAATCATTGTGACACTGCAGGACTGAATGGAACCAAGGGGACATTGTGACACTGTGGAGTTCATGGAGCTGAGGGGATGCTGTCACACTGGTGCCTAAAGATGCTCAGGGGCCATTGTGACCCTGTGGCTTGTGGAAACAAGGGGACACTGTGACACTGTGGGGTCTCAGGTAACCCAGGGGCCCTTGTGACACAGTGAGGCCAGATGGAAGCAAGGATCCATTGGGATACCTCAGGGCCTTGTGGTGTCCAGGGGTCCTTGTGACATTGTGGGACCTCTTGGAGCCAAAGGGGCCCTGGGATTCTGTGGGGCCTCATGGAGCCAAAAAGGCCCTGGGATTCTGTGGGGCCTCATGGAACCAAAGGGGCCCTGGTGACACAGTGGCTGCTCGGAGATGTCTGTGGCTAGCCCTGTCTCCTGGCCTGTGCCAAGAGTGGCCACTCCCTATCTGCCCTTTGGGCCGGTTTGGCTGGTGCTACAAGCAGGGCTGCTTGTCTCCCAGAAGCAGCAGGCTGCTCTGTGCCGCTACTGATGTCCCGAGCCGAGGAATCCAGAGTGAAGGAAAGAGAGGGATCACTTGTGTAGGTTCCCAAGAGGCTTTAATATCTGAGAGGGTCCAGGGACAAGTGACAGCAAATCCAGGGTTACAACAGCTGAAGTACGGGGGAGCGAACATGGGGAGGATGCAAACCAGGCCCAATAGAGGGAACCTGGGGAGGAGCACAGGGCGGGGTACACACTATGACAACCAAAGGGGAACAGCAGGGGAGGAGAGTAGACTGAGCACACCAATAGGTATTCGAGGGATACAAGATGGACACAGAAGATTCTAGAGATAAAGGTGGGGTTTCTGTAATGGACGAGGGAGGAGGGCAGGGTTTCCCTGAGTGGCAGGGAAGGATCTGGAATAAGGGGTAGGTCTTGAGGTAGATGGACAGGGGGATGGGAAGGTACATCTCTGGGCAAACCAGTGTGCATGGGAAACAACCAGAACAAACTACTTTTGCTTATAACACCACCCTTTCATAACAAAGGAGGTTACTACCACACCCTGGGACTCTGTGGGGCCTCCTGGAACCAAGGGCACTCAGAGACACTGCGGGGCCTCCTGGTTCTCAGTCTCTTCTGACACTTGTGTCCATCTACAGAAACACAAAACTGGGCAGCTTGAGCCTGCTGATCCAGAATATTCCCACCTCCATGGGAGGACGTTCCTGCCATCTGTGCTGATGTGTGTTCCCTCCACTCCCCGGGGAAATCCTTTATGAGCTCCTTTATTGCTGCGGTTAATCCCTGCTTCCCTTCTGTTGAGATGGGATACTGATTTACCCTGATGGGTGGGATTCCCAGTTTCATTTTCTCTTCTATGCGGGTTATGACCAGGAGACCACAACCTCCCTCTTCTGCCCAGGCTTTACAGTCTATTTTTCATCCTCCAATTTTAGCACCATCAATTTCGCCACCATCTGTCGTTCCTGTGGGATTATCCCTATTCCTAGTTGCACCTTTAAGTCCTGGCCTAATAAATTATATTCTAATTTGGGCATATATAACAAATCCATACATCCTCCTCTCGAATTTCCTTTAACAGTAACTTGCTCTATTACTGACACTTCCAGTGGCTCATTACTAGCGCCCCTTACTTTACACATCTCTTTACCTGACTGACATCCTTTGGGGACTCTTGAAACATATGATCTATCAGCCCCAGTATCAACTAAAAATTCAAATTCTTTCCCCTGGGGACCTATTTCCAAGTTTATCAAGGGCTCTATCTTATGATTCTCCATTTTCCCTAGGGGATAGAGCCCCTGACACCCCTAATTGTCACTTGCTCCAATGCGGTTTCTCTGTACAGCCTTCTCCGTTTCTAGCAATCCTTCCTGAAATGACCCTCTTTCCCACAGTGGAAACACTTCCCCTCCCAGGGGTCCTTATTCTGTTCCCAGGTCTCTTCCTTTCTCCGTTTCTCCGTTCCCTTTTGTTCCTCCCTTTCCTTATCCTGGCTGTCTCTGGCCTCTGCCATCATAATCCTTGCCTTTGATTTCATCTTCTCTTCTTTCCTCCTCAAATACACTTTCTACGCTTCCCGCAATAATTCGCTCAAGCCCTTTTCCTGCCAATCCTCCATCTTCTCCAACTTCCTTTTGATATCATTCCATGGTTGGTCCAAAAGATGGTGCATGCCTGACCAATCACTCTGGAATACTGGGATCTCATTGCTTGGTTAGTTTACCAATCATAGGTCTGTATTGATGCCATCATTTCAAGGGGTTAACTTTCTAGAAAATTCCCTCACCCAGTTCTCACTACCCCCTCTAGTGGGCACACACTCATACTACATTTAACTTCGTAACTTATTACATAACATAGGTAGAACAATCTATTATATTAATTAACAATTTTGAATGAAATTGCATCATTAACAATTCATAACCCTGCCTATGAAAGCCAGCTTTATACTTATAACAAGCTGACGCTGGCAGTCCTCTCTTCCCCTCTTTCTGCTCCAGGGCACCACCCCTCAACGGCGCCTCGGTCTCACGGCTTTATGTTGATGCGCTTTACAGGGAAACCAGCGGCCCCCATGCAGACTGCATCTTCCACCATCGCTGGATCAGCAACCCCCGCGGTCTACAAGACCTCTGCAGAGCTAAGTCTGCCCTGACCCTGGCAGAGCCACGTGGACTGTGCCCAGAGCTGGCGCTGCCTCTACTGGGGTAGCAAGCACCGGGAGGCACTGTGCCAGGTCTGTGCTGGCCACTGTCCGCACAGACCAGCCCCCGCACACACGGCTGCCTCCTGATGCTGTGGTGTCAGCCCCACGGTGCCAGGTACTCTTTTACCAGGCCAGTCCTGCCG